AGAACAGAACATGTAACTTAATGCCTGCATTTAAGGACGATGAATAGCGTAGTCAATGCTTTAGTGACAAGGAAATGATTTGTTTAAATATGATATATGACGTTATCTGTGACTTCAGTGGAAATGAAGCTTATCCATTGCATTGCATTTGTTCAATAGGTTTGTGTGTTACCCTTACGTGTGTGATACATATGAATATGGCATATGAAAACAAATTAATTTGACTGACTCATGAGAAACACATCCAAAGTAACAGTAAAATAAAAATAACCTACACAATAATACTCAATCAAACTGATACAGTATAAGGACTGTGATATCCAGCAATTTCTGAAGTATAACAATAAGATTATGACCTGTTTTTAAAAGAAGATAACAAGTTGTTTGCATGGAAAGAAGTCTGTAACCCATGCATGTAACTTTACATCTGTTTGTTCAAAGTGTCCTCAAGGTGATCCAGACAGGCTGGACCAGAGGAGGAGAGACAGATCTGGACTCCTAGCAGCAGAGAACTTCAGCACGGATTCCAAGGTACACCTTTTTCATGCTTTACAAAGAATGCATAAAGTAATGACTCCAATACACTGATAGACATGCCATTAAACATGGCTGAATACTAGATCACCTACACATCAGTGAAGTTGAGTGGACTTTATTAGCAAAAGGTTACATTTACATTTTACCAAGCAACATCACATAGTGAGAGCTGCGACCCTTTGTCTTTCAGTGAGACAACCGAACAGAGCAAGCTTCTACAGTTGCACTAAGTTTTGATAACAGTTAAATATTATTTTAATAATACATTTATTTCAATGTTGATGAATTTAGAACGGTTGATTCATAATCTGATTATCTTTGTAGTACACTGTTGGATTTAAAAAAACACATTCAAATAAAAAAATCATTATATTTATGAACAAACAAACACACCTCTTTCTTAAATAACACACTTGCTCTGCAATAATATGTTTTTTGATATTTCTGTTAGGAAAGGACACGCCTGAGAGACTGGACTGCTTCACCATGTTCTCTTTCTCTGAGGGTCCAGAAGAACATCCAAGAGGGAAAGGAAAAGCTGATGTTATGAGATTTAAGAGCAGTACAGGTCATTCACTAAGAGACACTTGTATTGTAACACAAAGACCTGCACACTGACTAGTTTTGTAGTCTAACAGGAACTTCATTTGTGTTGTTTTGTGTTTTACGTGGCACCTCAGAGACAGTGTGATTATTGTCAGGCCTATAAAGTTTGGCCAAAAAAAAGTCAGCTGATCAAATGCATTTGCCTCACTTTCTGAGCTTCACATCACTTGTGCCTTGTGCCGCCGAGTTTGGAACGTCATAAATAAATGGTGCCAATCTTCAGTCGGATGTGAATGTGTAATCTAACATTTTCAGTAAGAATAACGGACAAAAGGAGTGCAAATACAATTTATTGAAATGTGAACTAAAAGTTATCAAGCATGAACCATCACCATTTTTTTTTAAAATAAAAACGAAATAATATAAATAAGTTACACTAAATGTTAATCTGTTAATTGACAGGCTAGGCCTGTGCAGGTGGTAACAGCTATGCCCAGCATGGGCTAAGTTCTGTAGGTGGTGCAGGTCCTCCTCCATCAGGTCTGGTCCTCCTCCCTCAGGCCTGCAGGGTCTTTCCCTGCGAGGAGGACTCCTCGCAGGGAAAGACCCTCAGCCCTCTCCGGCCAAACCAACAGACAGGACGTTCATAAAGCTGAGGTCTCCCCCAAAGTCTCTAATCATCCATCCTGTGAATATGAGAGGGGAACAAATAGTGTAATAGATGCTTTGGACAATAAGAAATATAAAGTTAACTGTTGAGTTGCTCAGTTTTTTAGATTGACAGGGTTTAATAACACAAACAAAAGGAGAGAAATAAAGATTGGTCTTTCAATAAATTGTGTTGATTTTGTCTTTTGAATTGTTTGTCTGAAGTCAAGTAGCTAGAACTGTTACTTATAGTTTGAATGATACAGTCTGGTTATAATGTGTGGAGGAGGCATCACAGGTAAGAACACCATTTGTTGTGTTCCATCCACAACAAATTGATGTGTGTGTATTTATTTATCTACTATTTCTTGAATCATTGCTGTCAGTCCAAAACAAGAGATTTTGTTTTGGTAACATTTAAAAAAAAAAAAACATCTCTTTTCCACTACACTATCTTGAATACTTTAGTTTTTACGTCACTACATTTAACTAACAGCTTTAACATTGTAAAGGTGTCACTTCGGACTCTGGGTAATTATGACAGCATGTCCTACTCAGAGCCCTAGAGTCTCTAGGGCTCTGGTCCTACTATTTTGAGAGTTTGAACAAACCAGACCTTCATCTATTAATGTAGAAAATAGTCGGCACATTACACCATTATGAAAGTAATAATTAGTTAGCTCATTGTTCAAATGAGCTCCAACTACAACAGTTAAGTCAACTCGTGCATCGGTAATAACAATAAATCAAATGATATAATATAATAGTATAACTTGTGTCTACTTTAAATACTCTAACAACACTTTCCTAATTATACTAGCATACTTTTACTAAAGTAACATTAACATGTTTAAATGCAGGGCTTTTGTAAGAGAGTATTTCGTATAGTGTAGCATGGTCTACTTGACTTATCTAACCGAAGTGATCGTTACGTTACTTTGCAAACCCCCCCCCCCCCCCCCCCCACACACACACACACACACACAAAAGGACACGGTAACGTTGTGATTCACTTCAATTAATGATAACTACGGAGCTTGCTAACAGCAAGGCACAAGGCTACTTCACTCATTTAGCTAGCTAATGTAAGATACAAATGCTGTCGAGCCCTCACTGCTTGTAAGATAAAGAGCACAAACTGACTACTTACCCGAGCGGCGAGCCCCGCTGTTCTCCGTCATTTTTCTCCCGGGTTGTTGTGATCACATGACTGACAAAGCCGTGCTCTGATAGGCCAAGTCAGTTTGATTGCATTAGGGCTCGATTGCTTATCCTGTCTGAGTAGCCCGGATGATGATGCATCGCAATTTTGGACATCCAATTTTATACACCGAATTTTTTGACATCGAATTTTTTGACATCGAATTTTTGGGATCTGAATTTGAACATTCGAATTTTTTTCACTTGAATTTTTACATTTTTATTTCACATAGGTAAATTCGGAGCAAAAACATTCAGATACATGATTTTCAAAGTAATTATTTTCAATGCTATAAATTCGGTGTCTAATAAAATTCAAATACTTCTGTCTCTTGTTTGCTTCCATACAGGCCGGCCCTGCGAGTAAAGTAACGAGTAAAGTAACGAGTAAAGTAATGAGTTACTTTATGTAGAGAGTAACGAAGTAGTGTAATATATTACTTTTTTTTAAAAGTAATATGTAATATGTAATATATTACTTTTTTTTAGTAACGACCCCATCTCTGTTGGTGATACTGCAGATGATGAGTAGCCTAGCCCTAGCCTACAATGAACGTGAAAATTAGAGACTGAAAATGATCTCCGTCACGGAGGCTCCATAACACATTACTCTAAGGATGGAGTTCATATATATATATATAGGTAGGCTGTATTGAACACTATCATCAGAGTAATGTGATCAAATCAATAAGTAAAGATTCAGCCGATAACATGAAAGCACATGGCTACTTAACATGCAGAATGTCGTCATTGTGCATGCTAAGTAGCAATGTGCTTTCTGGGGCTTAATCTTTATTGATATCATTTAAACGTTCACTTATTGGTTGTTGGACATTGTGATATTATATTTATTATATTCGCTTTGTTTTGCCGACTGTGTTGAAATAAATTAACAAAATATTCGTTCATTGCAACACATTTAGAATCATATTACATATTTACACTTGACACATTTTATTGTTTTAAGTGTTCATTGATGTGCATTATCCCTGCTAAATAAACGATTAAATATCCCTTTTTACCATTAGTGGCTTGCTTGGTTTGTGCTTGAACATTCAATATTTTAAGGCTCAGGATTATGGTTTTGTATTTCACTGTTATATAGCACACTGATGCCACAACTAGTTTGCAATGGTTGAGAATTAGTAGTTGGGGTAGCCCTATTTTTAACCATACAATTTATTTAGCAATAAGAAAGATTTTTTGAAATTATTTGGCATCAAGAAGCTAAAGTGTGTATTCTTTCTTCCCCTAGGCACCAACAATAACGTGCATCACTTTCCTCTGATGTGACATCGGCTGCTGGGTCTAGTAGTCAGAGTATAACGTCATTTTTCAGTGAAGGACAGCGAAGGATCTATGACCCCAGTCATCCTCGTCAGAAATCCATAAGTGATGCTGTTGTGAAAGACCTTATCATTAAATGCTGTTTGCCTCTCTCCATTGTCGACAACGAGGACTTCAGGCACTTCCTCCATGTCTTAGACCCTCAATACAGGCCAATAGCAAGATCAACCATCTCCTCTGTGACCATTCCAGGAATATAAAAAAAAAATAAAGAGCCAGCAGCAGCATCAAGTGTTGCTGTCACCGCAGACATTTGGAGCGATCGAAAGATGCAGTCGTTCCTTGGAGTGACAGCACACAGTGTCTGAAAAAAAAGACGAACTCATCCTCCAGACACATCTGCTAATGTGTGAAAGAGTGCTTGGAAAACACACAGGAGAGAAACATTCAATATGTTTGAAATGTGTGCAGAAGAATATCTTATTAAGGATAAGATCAACTTTATTATAACTGACAATGCATCAAACATGCGAAAAGCATTCCAGGCCAGCTTTCCACCAGAGGAGGCTACAGTGCTGTGTGAGGAAGAGACTAATGATCCAGGCACAGAGGAGGAGGAGGAGGAGGAGGAGGAGGAGGAGGAGGAGGAGGAGGAGGAGGAGGAGGAGGAGGAGGAGGAGGAGGAGGAGGAGGAGGAGGAGGAGGAGGAGGAGGAAATATGGCAAGACCTGACGACAGAGGATCAACATGCAGTTATTGCTGCTCTGGATCAGAACTGCAAGATGGAGAGACTGTCGTGCTTCACGCATACACTGCAGTTGGTGATCAAAGATGGTCTGAAAGAAGCCAGTGGGCTGTCAGGTACACTAGCCAAGCTATCCCGCACAGCCAGCCTCCTCCATAGTAGCACCTCATTTAATGACCGCTTTGAGTCCTGCTTTGGGGATGCCACAATTCCATCAGCAAATGCCACACGATGGAATTCAACTTTAAAGCAGGTAAAGGCGTATGTTAAATTTGACATGCAAAATCTCTCTTATATGTTGAACTCAGAGGGACACAAAGCCCTCATCTTATCCCAGCGAGATTATGCTCAGCTGAAAGAACTCATCGAAGTTCTTGACCCATTCCTGGAGGCAACCGACCTGACTCAGGGAGAGAAAACTGTCACAGCCAGTGTGGTTGTGCCCTGTGTTCTTTCTCTGCACTGCCATCTGCAGGAAATAAGAGGAAGAGTCAGATACTGTGGGCCCCTGGTGAGAGCTCTGGCGAGCTCCTTGAAAACAAGGTTCACAGAGATCTTCCAAGCAGTGAAGATGCCAGGATGCGAGCCAGCTGAAGGAAGAGGTCCCACCAAATTTCCTTTCACGACTGCCTACTTCATAGCATCTGTGTTGGACCCATCGTTTGGTTTCCAGTGGCTAAAACATGATGTGCAGCTGGACAGTGATGACAAAGATCAGCTAATGACTCAGATCATTGGTGAGACATGTTCACTTGTTATATATGTATGCAGGCTCTAACTTATACTAGCCATTATTAATTATAGTTATATGTGTACATGAATGTCTAGAAGTGGTTTATCTGTTTGTAGATATTGGGGTGTGTGTAGCCAAAATAAGAATACTCAATCCTTATGGAAAGAATTACCCAATTATAAGGCCATTTTTACACATTAGCCTCTTCAAGTAAAACAAATTAACATCATCTATAAATGGTATCACAAACAAAATAATAAGATCAGTAGCAGATTTATTCAAAAAAGTATACCCTCTCATTTCAGATTGTATCAAGGCAGAGGGTGAGAAGCAAATGATCTCAACAGCAGACACAGCAGCAGGACCAGAACAAGGTGATGTTCCAGTGTCTCCTCCTGCTCCTGAAGCTCCTCAGAAGAAGCTGAGAATGTTCTCCCACTACAGCAAGACTCCCTCCTCCACCAACAGTCGGTCTGTCCAGGCTCAGCTGACTGCATACCTCGACTTGATCGACAACCAGGCCTCAGACCCATGCTTCAAGTTTTGGCAAAAAAATAAATCCCAGTTCCCTGTCCTCTATCAGGTTGCCACACAGGTATTCTCCATCCCTGCTTCCAGTGCACCCATTGAAAGGGTATTCAGTCATGGAGGCATTTTTATGAGGCCTCACCGTGCAAGGTTGAGTTGTTCGATGTTGTGAAATCTGATGCTTTTAAAATGCAACAAGGATGTTTAAGTGTGTGTGCCTGAGTGGGTGCTCATCTGCTCCTGACGCTAGCAGCTAAAAACATATTGTTATGCCAGACTAAAGTTCCCTGCCAGACTAGAGTGGCACAGTGACGCATCCTAAAACCCGGAAGTAAGCTGCGCATGGGTTCCTTCGAAAAAGAAGCAATGCAATTTCTCCATAGGATTTTGGAAAATAGCTCGAAATAAGGTCTGTGGTTGACACACATTTAAGAGACAGATCACGTTTTGGATAATCTCCACGTGATCTGTCTCTTAAATGTGTCTCAACCACAGACCTTATTTTGAGCTATTTTCCAAAATCCTATGGAGAAAATGCATTGCTTCTTTGACGAAGGAACCGGAAGAAGTTTACTTCCGGGTTTTAGGACGCGTCACTGTGGCACTCTATTGGAATTGGCCTCATTCGGCTCTGCTGGTGTTGTTTGTGGTTTTCCGTACACCTGTAAGATGCTTTTTAAGTATTCTAAATGCATAATTTCAACTGGGTGTCTGTCTAATAGGGCCACATTATGGTAGGAGAGGGGACCCCATCACTTCACTAACATAGAGAGGAATTGGTTCTATGACTTTGTAATTCGAGCCAAATTCAAATTGGAAATTGAATGAAAATGTTACTTATATTGCGTAGAAAGCCCTGCATGCTTTCTCATGTTCTATTGTTCTTAATAATGTATTTTCAGTTTCTGTGGGTTTTCAAACCATTAAATAAGTTCAATTGTGACATTTTGTCATTGTGTTTAATGTATACCATTTTCATTTGTAAAGCAGCTCTTTGAAGATGCCAGAACGGAGCACTGGAGGCAATATTGGAACTGGACTCAACCTTGATGATGATAATAAAAATAATAATAATTATTATTATTAGTAATAAGCTTTATATTTGTATAGCACCTTTTTTAATACAACAATTGTAGCCACACTCGCTTCACAGCAGTTCAATAGACACATTAGTATACCATGACAGGATAAAAGCAATGTAGAGGAGCTACAGCTACATTTCAACACATATATCCACTAAGATGAATACATGAAGACTTGTGACTCGGACTTGACTTGGACTCTTCTTGGGTGACTCGGACTTGGACTCGGACTCGAACACAGGTAATGGTGACTCGGACTCGGACACTCCTTGGGTGACTCGGACTTGGACTCGGACTCGACTACGACTCTCCCTAGGTGACTCGGACTTGGACTCGGACTCGAAGAGTGGGGACTCGAGAGTGACTTGGACTCGTGAATTGGTGACTTGACTACAACACTGCATTATGCGGCCGCTGTATGGGGCATTGAAGGGTAAGGCCCCCATCCAGGAGATCGACTGGACGCCGGAGGCTGAGGTTGCCTTTAAGGAGGTCAAGACCGCGCTGGCTCAGGCGGCCCTGTTGGCGCATCCGTCATCCACGGCCCCCATCTCCAATATACGGCGTTCGTTGACCACAAGCCGCTCACATTCGCCATGTCCAAGTTGGCGGAGCCTTGGTCTGCTCGCCAGCAACAACAGCTTTCCTACATCTCAGAGTTCACCACAGACATCCAGCACGTGGCTGGCAAGTCAAACCTGGTCGCAGATTGCCTCTCCAGGGTCGTCATCGGGGCCGTCCAGTTGGGCCTCGACTATACCCGCATGGTGGCGGACCAGGTCACGACCCCAGCGTCCAGGTCCTGGAGGATGTGGTTTTCGGCGACACGGGCATTACTCTCCTGTGTGACATCTCCACGGGACAGCCGCGTCCAGTCGTTCCCACCAGCTGGAGGAGCTCCGTGTTCGAGGCGGTACACGACATGTCGCACCCCGGCGGGAAGCCTTCGGGTCTTGGAACACAGGGGCAAGCACTTGGTGGTCGACCTGGGTGGCAAGGCCGAGCACGTCTCGGTGGACTGGGTGAAGGCTGCTCACCTGGACTTGGACCAGCCGGTGGTGCTGGCACTGCCTCCGCGATGGGCCGCCCCCCGGCCTTGACCCCTGTCACCGAATTGGGGCTTGCGGTTCCGGTCCCACCTCTACCGGCGGCCGCCCCTGCAGGGGTCGCCTCCCCGGCTCCCGTTCTCCAGAGTTGTGGTGGTTGGCCTGTCGTTCCTCCCCGCCGCACAGACTTTGTGTATGGGTGAATTCTGGGGGGGCTTGTGTGGTGGAACATTATGGGACATAATTCACCGTTGCATATATTGTGTGTTGCACCACGGACCTGTTAGAGAGTGTACCGTGTTGTTGTATTCATGCTAGCTTGACAGTAGCAGGTAGCAGATGTTCCTACTTTTCTGTAACGAATGGAAAATAAAGTGTGGAGTTCCATACTGAACACACGGCCTCCGACTCCCATTCATCGGCTCTACAATAGTATATAAAACCATGCTTGTATCTATACAACCTATATAAAAGCAAAACGGCGTCAGTTTAAAGTAAAGTAATGTCCTTCTGTTTACCGCATCATTAATGAGAATACATTTCTTAACAAGAGAACATAATCGAGGGGTGATCTATAACATCACATTATAATAAATAAAACTCTTTCATGCTTGTTGTATTTGGAATTTTTTAACCAGTTCCTATAATATCTTACGTACAGTAAATCCCTCTTGAGTAAGAGATTATGATTGTGGGACAGTTTGTTTAAAAACAGACTGGAATGAAAACAGACTTCCTGCGTTGCTATTTGTTTGATTTGAGGAAGGAAAGAAAACAGGTTTCTCTCTAGGGCAACTACAATATGGACTGATAAAAAGGCTTTTGAATCCCACAGCGCTGATAATGTTCAACAAAAGGAATCACTTTTATCAGTACATTGTGATCATGGTAAACAAAAGGGATGGCTTCATGCAGGCCTCAGGTGGAATGGCAAGACATTAAGTCTGTAAAACTAATATATCACCTCTTCAACAGGACAATCTGCTGCATATGTTAAATATCAGCGGCTTTGTTCTCCTGTCATATTCACACAGAGACTCAGATATGGGTTTGATGAGCAGCTTGTGGGAACAACATCAGTTTCTGATGCATCAATGCTTTTCACTTCCATTCGCATTTTTGTTTTATATTCTTGCTAAACGAGGATATCTGGGTTTGTCGTACAGGTATGTATTTACAAGTTGATTGCTTATACATTTTATAAAAATCAAACTATGTCTCAAGTAATTCCAGATACTCCAGGAGCCTTGGAAAATAATCTCATGCCATGTCTTTCATTGAAGCCATATCTTAATATCTATTTGGATTGACATTTAAATGTATGAAGTTCGGTTTGTAAAACGAATGAAATATTTAATAATCACTCAAACTGTAACATAAAGCAATAACAGCACCATTGTGAAAATGAATGTATTTTTAATTTTAATTTGTTAATATTTAATTTATCTTCATTGAATCAATAGTTGTTTTTGAATGTTGTATTTCAATTATTGACAAGACAGATTGCAAAAAGGTCAATGTGAAACACTGTAATAATCTGTTTGTCAGGTTATATTGTAAAAAAAAGTAGAATGCCCGTCAGTTTAGAATTGTATAAAGCAGAGAAAAGCAGAAAGATGTTAATGTTGTAGAAGCTGCAGATAGTTATTTTTAAGCAAATGCTAAATCAACAATTGAAACAGTGTCTGACTACAAAATAATTTCTGTGTGTGCAGGTACCTGTTTGTTTCAGTCGGAGGATGCGTCCTGGCAGTTGTCACTATGGGCGTTTACAGCCTGCTTCTCTTCACCTCCACCTCTGTCTTCATTCTGCTCGTGTGCTCTGTGGATCTCCGCCATGTCCACACCTGGGTGTTTGCTGTCCAGATGTTGTGGCAAACCTTCTGGCACCTACTCATACAGTACAGGGAATACTACCTGCATGAGCCTGTCAGCATTAGGTACTAATCAGCTCATCTCTTAAACCAGACATATACTTTATCATATTATATACAATATTCTATGTTTCTTATTCTCATCTAATTCCATTACACGTACAAAGACAACTATTAACTGATCCTACTAAAACATATATCTTGTTCCACTGTGCCATGACGTAATATTTGTGTTGTGTAACTAATATAGCTTATCATTGCAAGTTGTATAGATGGATACCCTTCCAAAAAAGATCCTTGAGTATTACATTAATGTCGGAAGAAAAAAAACATATCAAAACAATGTAATTTAATATTTTAGGCCAATGCATGTTAAAGTAGAAAATCCTCTTTGAATATAATCAAGAGCAAAAGGAACAAAATATGGATTTCAGAATGAATCCATTTGTTTTCTGCCAGCTGGATAACAGATAATGAAATTGACAAAAATGTTTGACATGTGTTGGCAGAAAATGTCAGCTGCTTTTACAAAGAATTTGTGAGGTGATGAAACGTTTTTAAAACAGCTAATAAATGGACCTAAAGGTGGGTCTGTTTGGGCTAGTTCTTTGCACGACAAGCTTGGAGAATTGTTGTTAAACTGTATTATGCCCTTTGCTCTGGGTAAAAACATGAAATGCATACAGACAATTCATCCTCAATTTCCCCTTCCAGGTTGTTTTTGGCAGTGTCCTCCTTGATGCTGCTGACTCAGAGAATCACTTCGCTGTCGATGGACCTCCAGGAGAAACGAGTTGTGCTAACATTTAATGCCTCATCCAAAAGCAACGCGTGTGTGATGCTGCTCCCTCTCATCAGCTACATCCTCAATTTCACCACTCTGCTCGGCGGGCCTCTGTGCTCCTACAGAAACTTTGTGTCTTTAATGGCAGCGATCAGCCTCCACGCTCCACCTAATCCACTGGGTGTAGTCCTTCTAAAGTTGATGCAGATTATTTTGCTGGAGTGCATTAAGTTTTATGTTGTCTATTTACTAAAACACAGCTACTATGATTCCTCCTCCTCTATCTATGGTGTCCTGTGGGTTTGGGGTCTGGCGCTGGTTTTTAGAATCCAATATTATTCTCACTGGAGGATCAGTGAATGCCTCAATAACGCAGCTGGGTTTGGCTTTTTGGAAAAAGAACCCGAAGACTCCCCAGACGGGTGCAAACTATCCGATGGAGATTTCTGCACCATCGAAGCCTCCAGCCGTATGTCTGAGTTTGCCCGTCGATGGAACGCAACAACAGCTTCATGGCTGCGTAGGCTGGTTTATATCAGATGCAAACGTTTTCCGCTGTTCATGACTTTTAGTTTCTCACTGTGGTGGCATGGTTGTCATTTAGGTCACTTTGTGGGAATGTGGACCTGGGCAGCAACAGTGAAGGCAGATTATCATATACACAGGTACTTGCACCCAAAACTCTCATCTACACAAAGTAAAATATACAGTTGTTTAGGATGGATAAACACTCAGATGATTGTTGCTTGTATTGTTATTGCAGTAGAATTAAGAGATATGTCTGGTTTGAGACTTTTGTCTATAACATACATTGGTCTGTTTCCACTTCTTAATACAATGCTGCTCTTTATCTTATTAAAACTCAACAAAGTTTAGAAATGTAGCAATGTGAACACACTCCCAGACATATAACATACTTGTTCTATCATTAAAATATATGAATGAACATGTCTATACTTGTCTTGGTGCATTGTATTTTGTTGTTTGTCCTCTATATACTTTTTATTGAATTTGGAAGAATCAATGAAATGTCAACAAAGCTACATTATTCACACCATTTCATTTATCTTGAGAAGTCTTTGAGTAGGATGTAACTGGACTTCATAACATATTTATATGTTTCAGTCAATGTTGCAAAATGAACTAGATTGCAGTGCTAAAAGCAACAATACTTAACATTTAAACATTTCAAGGTTGGTCTCTGCTAGCATAAACTAAAGATAATTTTGTGTAATTCAAATCTGTATTAGGGGTCATTTTCTATGTCATTAAACCCTGCCATGTGAGGGAGCAGCTCCAGAGAGGAACAGAAAGCTGCAGGTGTGTTCCACATCATCATCATCATTCATCCATTGTTGTACTGTTTGGTTGAGTGTAACATAAAACCAAACCCTGATGCAAAATAATTGGCAGCGCAGTCCATCAAACAAGCTCAGGCATGGCAAAGCAAGGGATCCTGTCTGACTCGCTGGACAAAAACTAGTGACTCAAAGTGAAAATGACAAATGACAAAAGTGAAAATAAAGCCAGATTTCTTTCTCAATAGTGGATTGACTCAAATGAAACTAAGTGGTCAGCAACAACTTCACGGGGTGGGCGTTGTTGTACTGCTTCCTAGTGGTGAAAACTGTTTAATGCAGCTTTAAGGTGTAATGAGCAAGGATAACAAGACATTAACATTTCCCTGTAAATCCATGTTCATTGAAGGGATGGCAAATAACTCTTTGATGTCAAATACTAAAACCTCTCGTGTCTGCTGACACCGATACCAATCTAAACCCGGGTTTGTTCCCTCTCTCTAACAAAAAATATGTTAATAATACATTTGTATGGAAGCACTATGCATAACCCAGCCACCTAAAAAAACATTATTCTCAAACTGTAAAAACAAATAATCTACCCTGTAAAGGAAGAAACACGTGACTGACAACTGACTCAGTTATGTATTACTGATACTTCTTATTTTTATTTGAACTTCTTCACACACAGATCTTTTAGCAGCATTTTTGATTGGTCAGTACCAATTAAACATACACATGAAAAGTGTAAAATATTATATAATATGTCTATCGGGCCCATTACTCAGATAGTTGACAGACAATTTGGAATTGAACCTTTTTTGTTTGTTTCTTTTATACTTTATATTTATTTATGGTGATTTTGACAAGTTATAAACCAATACCGATACTGCCAATTGAAAAAAAAGAAGCACATTTTGTCACAACAAATAAAGGATTTGCCTGGTTTATCGTCACTCCATTTAGCTGATTTTTGTGTGAATGTGTGCAGCCACTAGAGTTTCAATCAGCAGCACAAATTATATTTTGTATGTACCAAGAGGTGTTTCCCTCAGCAGCAGGGATATGAATGTAACTCTACCCATTGGCTCGTCTGACATACTCTCTCTTCCCTTTTCTCTGTACAACTGTTATCAATCAATAGTCAAACAAAAGTAACCAATAATATTACAGTCAGGGTTCAAATCAGTTCATCATGTTTCTCTCACAGAGCTTTGTTCCCAGAAGTATAATGTGAAGCATTGTGAAGTACTGAAAATGTAATCAAAATGAATAATAGTTCTGCTTGTGTCACTTATCTGACTTCCTCTTCATTTTGTAGCAAATTCTCTCTTCTTTCTTTCCACAGATTTCCAGCGACAATGCCTAAAAACAGCAACAATCCAAGGTTTCGGTTTGACACAAATTTCTTCCAGCAGTCCTCTGGTTTGTGAATGTCCAATGTGTAAATCTAAAAAGAGAGGAGAGGAAATATCACCATTTAATAGAAAACCCATATTTTTCACACTTTCGTTATATGTTCTTTGCTTTGTCATATCTCTCTGTACAATACATATCCACCCTTTTGGAGCCAGCATATAGACTGCACTGTACACCTCCATGTTCCTCACCTGATGCGTGAGGTGAACAGCCACTGTGGACAGAACAGCATAGTAAGGGAGGGTCTGTTCAGCATTGACTCCGGCTACCACCAGGCCTGACAACATGGCCACCGTGAAGCCACTCAGCCAAGGTTTGGTCTGCTCCTGGAATCTCAGCGCAGTAGACTTCACTCCGATCTTGACGTCGTCATCCTTATCCTAGTTAACAAAGAAAGAACAGAGGGAGCTTAGTCTCAATCAATTATACACTACTTTAAATATGAGGCATTAAGCTTATGTTCTATTCCTACGTGACTGGATTCAATGTAATACAATGCAAGTGAAGCAATGGTTCAATGGTACAGCTCACTCAAAAATAGAACATATTTGTTCTGTAAGCAATAGTGCTATTCATGAACCTAGATTGTTTTGGTGTGAGTTGCTATGTGAAGGGAAATGTATATAAATGCATGTTTCCTTAAGAGCAGTAATCCAGGGCCGCCCCTCCCTACAGGCCAATCACGCAGGCTGCATGGGGCCCCGCCTTGCGCAGGGGGCCCCACCCAGAGGGCCTCAGCTGCTGTGTGCAGTTCTCGCTCAGTTCTCCACGCACCCCCGCGAGAGTGAGAGTGAGAGGTGACAAGGGGAGTGTGAGAGAATATTTTAATCCGATCTCTTTGTGTCTTGAGTTTCTCAGCGTTTCTGAGAAACTGATAAGATACAGACATATGCTTTTCGTTAAGTCGCATATACTCCTGCCTGTAATGTGAGAAGCACACAGGTCAAGAGGTCATCTGATTTCCTGTGGGTGAGAAGTTTGGCACAACGGGTCTTTGTTCCGATGTCTGGTAATGGTTGGGGGAGAGGCGGGAATATAGGTCCCTCCTCTCTTCTCTGCAATGGATCTGTGTTTCTGTTGTCCTTTGTCCTCAGAGTTGATTTGGTTGCTTTACATGAAAGTGTGAATTTGCCTTGTGAACTCTCCGGCCATATTATACTCTTAATAAATATCGACGTTTGACTAAGACGGTCCAGCTTCCATCATTTCCTTTGCATTGCTGCACAGAAGTTTTCATCACAAATGAGCGTCACGAACAGGATACCAAAAGATCTTCAGAACTGGTAAGTGTAATTTCAAATCTATATTTGGACATTGCCTTACCAGAATCTGTGATTGACGGTATCATAAAATTACCTGTGAAACTGCGCGGCTGCATTTTTTTTGGTTTCTCTACTCTTTAGCCTACATCTGTTTTTTTTTTAATGATAACCTGGGGAATCGGTGTCAAATGGGGATTCTGTCCTGGCCAATTTTCCCTGTGATTGCTGCTGGGGCATGTGCCTACAGAGCAAGCACAGCTCATGTAAAAAACAATAAGAATATTTGGGGCTAATAATAACCTAGGAATATCGATTTTGACCGATTTCCTCTGTGTGTGTTTCTTGGAATTAAATTACCAGACAATTACACACAGCAAATATTCGGAGAGACCTTAAAGAGAGTATCAGTAAAGTGGACTTCTGCATTAGGAGCAATGTGATAGATTTGTATTGAAACGAATCGCCGAATTCTGGAGATTTCAGCGGTAAACTGGTTAAATCAACAACAGGCATCGCCTCGAATCTGCCTGCTGCACGGGTGTGTGTGTGTGTGTGTGTGTGATTACACCCCCCACTGCGGGGAGCCGCAGGCGAAGAAAAAAAAAAAAGCACAGAGTGTCATATATATTTTCTTCACACCATTGCCGTTTTGGAACTAAAGAAAACGGTCTAAAAGCATTTATTTTGTCTGCGACCGTTTTCTACTATTTTGCTGGCAAAACTGGGGCAGACAACTAAGTGCGTGCGTCGCCTGGCGCGCCGCAGTTTCCTACTTGCTGGAGAAGCTAATGGGAAGGGTGGTATGCGAGAATGTGACATAGCGCTGTGTTTATGGGTTGTTGAATTTGGCTGTTGTTGGAGAAGAAAGGGTACTGGATAAATTAAAAGTCTCTGCTCTCCGGATCGGGGAGGGCAAAGCACCACTAAATTAGCATAGTGGTTGTTGATTGAGAATACATTAGTTATTGCTCTTCAACAGATTCCGTTCTTAGCACTTGTACAAGTATATATGAGTAAGAAGGCACTCATATTAAACAGATATTTCCCTACCCCCACTGAAATCTCTCTCTATTCGAATTAAATTAAATTGGATGAGCTTTTTCTGTCACACTGATGTTTATTGCGAGTTCATGTTTGTTTGTCTAATTGTTTCCATATTGGTTTGTCTACCCGCCGTCTTGTGTATGTTTTGTAACAACTAATAATGAATCAGTCCATAGCCAGGGTAAAATTAACTAAACTTTAGTTATCTCACCAAAAGTAAATGACTTGAGAAAAATGAATAAATGATGTAAAGCAAAATTATACATTGTAATATAAATGTGCTGCAAAAGGAAAAATAAATAGCAAGCGAGTGTTTTTCTGTCCTGCATCTGTCTTACAACCGAGACCCTCAGAGGCATCACTGCTCATAAATACCGGCCTGAGGAAATCAGGGTTGCAAAAAAAAAAAAAATCTGTCTGCTCAAATAGGTCAATGTTGTATTATTTGTTTCGTTTATTCTTAAATCTATGTATTATATGGTAATAATGAATTAAAAAAAACGTAATGTATTGAACACATTCCAAAACAAAGCAGATAGGACAGAACTAGACTCAGACATAATTGTGATTGAAACCGTTTGCGCTGTTGCTGCGAAATGAAAACTTTGTTGATTGTCTATTCCAACTGGCCACTGGAATCAGATAATTGATATAAGTTGAAGTTCAATTACAGTTTTAAATATAGTTTAACATTCTTTATTCAACTGTTTCAAATGATTTCTAGTACAATTGGTCTACAGACATGACTACAATTCTAATAGTTGTTAAACGACTGAGCTTATGAACAATAGAGTAAAGGTCGCTGGTTAAGCCAGGATCAATATATTTGTTGAGGTTTTTATTGTGTACATAATAAATGGGTTTAAATGAATTGAGCAATTTTAAAGGAGTATAATGTTGCAATCTCTTTAAGATAAGTAATTGCAGTTCCAAGATAGATGTTGTTTTCCCTGGGCCTCTCCTTCACAAGCCCACACAATAAATCATGAGACTTCCAAATCTGAACAGACAGAGATCAGTATCACAAATCCATGAAGGGATTCTAGTGAGCCCAATTTAAATACCATAAAGAGAGTATTCACCCAGCTGTTTTAATTTCTTAAATTTTTTAGTCTAGTTTCCTTCGAGTTCAGTCTAAGCTACGAATTGTTTCTCATAAACATTCACACCGCTGGTTTTAACCCTTGAGCAGACAAGCTGCTCACACACACACACACACACACACACACACACACACACACACACACACACACACACACACACACACACACACACACACACACACAAACACACACACACACACACACACACACACACACACACACACACACACACACACACACACACACACACACACACACACACACACACACACACACACACACACACACACACACACACACACACACACACACACACACACACACACACACACACACACACATTGAATATTTGCCTTATCCACTTTTGCCTTCTTTAGAGTTATTAGTAATTCAAGATTAATTATTGAATTAAAATGTGCTACATAAGATAAAATACTGAAGCTTTGACTTGATCATTTCGGTCACAACATTATACCTTGTCCTCTCATCTCTACTAAAATAAGATACGTGTGCATGTTTGGGTGTTTTAACACTCCTGTAATGTACCTAGTCTTGTCAGGGTAGGTCAGGGTATCAGGTATGAAAAAAAAAAAAAAAGGTGACAAGGATCCGAGCCCCCCGACCCCACGGAATATCGGTTTTAAAATTAGGAATAACAGATGATTTTACCAGTCAGAACAACTAAAAGCAGCAGTGGTAATAACAACAGAAACGCTACATCTAATAGAAATATACAAAAGCATTTATTTTAATTGTGTAGCAGTCAGTTTATAATATTGGCAGCACTGTTGAGCATTTTGAAAATGTATTTTCATGCCTCTGCAAGGCTTAGTCTTTCTATCTGTATAGGCACTGGTGTTAAGTAACTAAGTTCATAAACTCAACAAGTACTATACTTGGGCACAATTTTGAGATACTTGTACTTTATTTAAGTATTTAAATGCTTTGCTACTTTGTTCTTCTACTCCACTACAGTTCAGAGGTACATGGTGTACTTCTACTCCACTACATGTATTTAATACCTTTTAGTTACTTCACAGATCTGGATGAATGATGTGAAATATAATCAAGTGTTAAATCAGACTTTAGTTCCACCTGGAGTAAATCCACAAGCTACCCTGCAGTATACAAAGTCATTCAAACTAGCTGCACCTTTACCAGCTTTGAGAACACTCATGATCAATCATTACAAAACACATCATATATATTATTCTGAAATGGACCAATCTGCACAACGACTACCTTTACTGTCGCTATTTCCACTATATTTTGATGAGAATACTTTTATACTTTTACTTGAGTAACATCTTGAATGCAGTACTTTTACTGTAACATAGTATTCCTACACTCTGGTACTTCTACTTTTACTCAAGAACAAGATCTGAGTACTAAAGCTAACGTTAGCCAGAAACATTTTTCAGTTCACTTCAGGCTCTGCCGCTCCGGCAGGGAGCTCTGCTCTGAACACCTGAACGCCCCGTTCTAACAGCTGTTCACCAGCGGTCCAGTCTGTGCCACAGTCACTCCGGACCACACAGTTAATATTAACGAACGCATCCGTAGGTAATATAGCTGCTGAAGCTAGACAAATCTTAGCGGAAAAGCAGAGCCTTATTATACATCCAAATGCAGAGCCGACGGGCAGGAAGACTCGAGCATTCATTAATGTAAAAAAAGTACACCATACGTGTCATGATGGCACAAAACAGCTCGCGGCTGCAGATTACTCCGTTTCCCAGACCCCCCCATACCCCAGTAATATTTTTATTGCAGATCTACATGAATCACACAAACGACCTATTTTGGATTCAAAACGGCGAATTTCGCCAAAAGGTGACAAGTTTGCATCCCTGCATATCCTTTTCATCACAGAGCTGGGAAAATGGTGTATTGATTAGATTCTGATCCGTGCATGTCCAATTTTAACTGACTTTAGTTCTAATGTTAATGTTAATTTGATTTCAACCCATA